AATGGGAAAGATAGATTACCTCAACAGGAATACCAAAAAACCCGTTGAGATATATCCCTAATATGAGGAATGGAAGATTAAAAACTCAATAGTAATGGCATGGCTAACTAGTTCCATGGACCCATACTTGGTCATACTTATCTATTTCTTGACATTGCATAGGAGATTTATGATGTTGTTGGGAAAAATTATTCAAATCTGGAGAATGCATACAAGTTTTTGAATTAAAGAATAAGTTAAAGGATTTATACTAGGGAAGTTTGTCTATCAATGAGTATTTTAATGAATTTCATAATTTATGGCAGGAACTAGATCTACACTGTGCAACTAATCTTGGAGACTGAAGTGAGATTCAAGAAACAATTGGAGAAGGAAAGGCATCAGGTCTTCCAACCACTCAAACAGCTATGTACTCTTTTCAAAATTTGGGAAATAATGCTATTTAGTTACGTTGCCATGGTTTAGTTTGGAACTGAGATATCTACCTTGATTTCTCACCCTTGAAAGCTAAGTTTGGGCAATATTGTTTATAATTTCCTGTGAAAAAATGGATGTCTTTTGGCTACTATTTCTTTGACCAGGTGCCTTACAAAAATTATCCAGGACCTCCATGATTATCGAGCATTACTCCATTGTAGCCTCCTCAAAGAGCATTACATCATTTGTGAAAAGAAGTTGGGGAATATAGGGGCCATGTTTCCTTGTTTTAATAGACTTCGAACGATTCATCTTTATAGCATCTGCAATCATATGGATAAGATTTTCTATACAAAGCACAAAAATATAGGGTGACATAGGATCCCTCTATCTTATGCCTCTGGAACTTTGGAGTCTTTGCTCCATTCCATAAAAAATATACTTTGGGAAAATGATGCAGACCATAATAATATGTGAACTAAATGTTCAAGAAACGGGGCTTATTCTAAAACCTGTTGTATGAAGATCCAATTTAAACCATCATATGCCTTCTTAATATCAATCTTAATGGCCATAAAGCCCTTCCTACCTTGAATGCAACATATAGTGTGAATCAACTAGGCTATTATAATATTATCTTGTATTTGTCTCCTTGGAACAAAATGTTGAACCATAGGTCATAAAGACTACGATATTGAAGTTTTGATGATTACAAAGCACCAACATAGCTCAACATGGATGTATACATTAGAGAATAGTGTAACAAGTTTCAAATGGTACTAGAAGACCAAAGTAAAGCCCAAAAAGGATAAGATTTCTCAAATGTGCAAAGTCAACCTAAAAGTCAATGAATTCAAGTGAAGGATGGCACAACAAGGCTAAATATATAAAGACCATTGAAGACAAATGAAGACTCAAGTGCATACTGTTTGTAATAAGATTATAGAGTCTTAGAACTTAGAGGAATTAATTATTGAGTTTTAACTTGAGAATTGCATTAATAGGTTATAAACTCACGCATATTGAACATACATACCTATATCCTTTATACAAGACCACTCATTCATGTAAAGTTGTTAAAATGACGAGATACATATACATACATGTGTTAGAAGTGATTAGGGATCATTTAGAAGTCACTTAGAACCATTTAGATCCAAAAATCAGCAAGGAAATTGGTTTCTGATATGAAGTAATCCAATACTTTTTAGAGTAATCGATTACCTGGGTTCTTTGAAAAAGTAATCCATCACCTGATGAACAATAATCAATTACCTGAAAGCTTTGAAGAAGTAATTGATTACCCCACGAAAAGTAATCGATTATTATAGGTTATATGTGACTTATAACTTAAGTAATTTGAATTTCTAAATATCCAATGACTATAAATGGCTAGTAACTTAATATTACACCTATATAAACATTTTTTGGGGGTTCTTAACATAGAATTAACATTGAGAAACACTTGAACGTGAAAATCAAAGAATTGAACCCTTTTAGACATATTTTGCATACTCTTGAGTAAAATCTCAATTACTTTCTCTTATCTTAATCTTTTTCTGAGATTTTTGTTCATTTGGAACTAGGATAGGTTTCTCCTTTGCTATTTTCATACAACTGGTTTTTGTAATTCGTTTTGTTGGATTGGAGTGATCCTATAAGGGTATAGGTTGAGCTTGATCAAGATTCTTGTAAAATTCCTTTATACTAGGTTTTTTCAAGCATTTGTTGAAAGCTTGATAATAGTGAAATGTTCAGCATCAGTCTGAATGTAGCTTTCAAGTGGTTAGATGGTGAATCGGGATAAATTCAGAGTTTTCTTCTCTTTTCCTTTCTCTTTTTGATACCATTGCAATAACTCGAATTTACATGTTATATGTTATGTTTTGATTCTGTTTAAGGGTTGGGAATTACTATTATTTTGTTTGAATTTGTTTGTGTTGATTTTCTTATAAAAGGGTATTGATTTACATTATTTCTTACAAAAGAAGTAACACACAATTCACTCTCCTCTTGTGTGATTGTTTAGCCATTATTTTCTTTTCACAAACTTGCCTGATACAGTGATATTAATTTTTTCATCAGAGGCTTTAGCTTGTGTACAATCATCTTGATCAAGGCCTTATATAAAATGTTCATAAAGATATAGGTATGAATTGTGGACATTGAATTATCAATCCCATCGTTGGATTGGAATTCTAACTAAGTATATCAAGTCTATAAAAAATTTGAAAATTTAAAATTAGTAGATGTTTTATAACATAACTTTAATTTAATATGTATTATATACTTTAAAATATAAATAAAAGTAGGTCACATTGTAATTATTGATTTCCTTGCAATTCTAATTTTTAAATTTTATAGTTGTTTTACATTATTAAAAGCAAGTGACGAGCTAGATCTATTGGCATTAATTTTACCATATTCTTCAACTCTAGATTTTTTAACATTTAATTCACCTGATTTAATAACTTCAAATTTATTGACTTTTATTCCACTGAGTTAGAATTTGTTTAAGCAATTTCTACAATAACCATCTGTTGTTAATTGCTTGCACAATTACTTGCCCGTTACGAGCTCTATATGCATTGTTCTTCCTTAAAATACTCCTTGAAATATTAGTTGTTTCAAGGGTTAATTAAACCATCTATTTCAAATGTCTTGTATCGTTAGTCTTATGGGCTTCCTTTATAAAATTTTTGCAACTTCCCTTTGTCATTTGAACAAAGCCCTTTCAACTATCCATGGGCCTAAATTAGCTACAGACTTGATGACTCGGCCTTGTTTTACATTATACCAATGAGGAGAATTAGACAAGAGAAAGATAGATAGATGATAAATATGTTGGAAGATCTCGAGGTTGTGAAATTTTCATTGCATTTTCCATTCACTTTTCCACCATATATACTCAACAACTTGATCATTGTCACAAAAATGTTACCAAAATGACGGAACTAATGGAAAGCAAATACAAGTAGCAAGAATGAATATTTCCATTGATCATTGTATTTTCATTGCATTTTCCATTCACTTTTCCACTAAATATACTCAATAACTTGATCATTGTAACAAAAGTGTGAACAAAATGACAGAACTAATGGAAGGTAATACAAATAGCAAGGAGAAATATTTTCATTGATTTACTTTGAACTAGGCCTAAATGGCCTGAATATGGTTTCTAACTATTAAACATGAAAGTCCATCAAGTAATTGGGTTAATGAATCCCTCTTTTGGACCTAACTTGCATTGAGCCTGTTACACCCCTAATCCCTTCAAGCATATTCTCATCCATGAGGATAAGAATACACGTCGCTTTCCCATCATTCAAGGGAGAAGTACGAGGATAAGAACGAGCTAGCTAGATGTCATTATCTTTTCAGTTGTAACGTTCAATGTAACTTGTATTTGTTGGGCTTCCTCTTTTAATGTTAAGCCCAAATCCATTGAGGGATTTTCTAAAAATCCTAAACCTTAGATTCCACCTCCTCTATATATTCATTAGTTACGGGTGGAAGCAATAGAAGAAGATAATTTGAGAGACTCTTGAGTGACACTTGAGAGATTTGTAAGTAAAGCTTTGAGCTTTGCATTTGAGAGTACTTCTAGAGAGAGTTTGAGTGAAACACCTCTAGGGAAGTTTGATTATCACCATTATTGGAGAGGTTGACAGAACCACTACTTTGGTGAAGGTTGATTCTTTGTACCCATTATTATCACAGTGGACGTTTGAACTGGACTAGGTATAATAACCCTAATTATATGACTTTTAAATTATAGGGTGATAATGAGGACCTTATGGTCATAAATAGAATGAGGATGAAATTCTAAGAATTTTGATACCCATATCGAGGGTATTTTGCACAGATGAATTTTCATCTGTTAATTTTGACTGCTGACGCAGTAACAGTTAGTAGAATAGATCCAAGTTAGCAAATTATAGTTAGAGAGCTAATCTAATGATATAAACATCATGAATGAGGTTAGGATATGATTTGATGAAGATTGATATCCATATTGGGGTATTTTTGAAAAGTCACTTCTGTCGGGTATTTTGTAAAACGTGTTAGTATTCTTTTAAAATAAAGCCTTCCGCTGTGAATGTTAAATATCATGTATGTTAACAACCGGAGTACTACAGGGTGTTACATTTATGGTATCAGAGCAGTTTCACCGGGACGTTCACTGATTTATTGCTTAAGTGTTAGAATTACCTGTTGAGTATCTCTTGAGCATCATGATATTGCATATTTCATCACTTGATTGAGTGTAGCTAACTCATACCTTGTGCAGTTGTTTGTAGATATCATGGCTCCTCGAGGGAGACCTAGACGGGTAGTTCAAAACCCACCACCGGACCCCGTTGCTGCTGCTATAGCGGCACTACAACAGACTTTGAACGAGACAAGAGAAGCTGACTTGAAGAGGATAGAAGAGGCCAGAGAGCGCGATAGAGAGTAGTTGAGAAAGGCCAGTGAAGACCTTATGGCACAGAATAGGCTGGCCAATGCTGAGATGATCCGACTACTGTTGATAGAGGTACGAGGAGGACCTCCACCACCTCCTCCACCGCCAGTTACACCACATGATTCTTGAGCCTGTTGTGCTGGGACAGGAAGGGTCAGGACAGGCCCATCAGGAGGCGGAGGCATCTGTCCATGAGGGACGAGTGAGGCAACCAGTTATTGAGGTTTATAGATCAGCTATACCACCCATGTTTGACCGGGATACTAGAGAGCGTATGTTGAGCGCTTTCAGGAAGCATTTCCCTCCTCACTACAAAGGTGGAAGAGATCTCATCGCAGCATTGGAGTGGCTCCAAGAGATGGAGCTCATTTTTCAGGTTATGGAATGCGATGCCAACACAAAGCTCTTATATGTAGTGTACATGTTACAGGGGGATGCTGCTGACTGGTGGAGTAATGTTAGAAACTCACTTGAGTGCCAAGGTTATGCTATTACTTGGCCGTTATTTGAGAGGCATTTTCTGCAGAAGTACTTCCCTGAAGAAGCCAGGGAAAGGAAGAAAAGTGAGTTTGAAGACCTCCGGCAGGAAAGCATGACTGTGGATGAATATCTGAGCAAGTTCAACCGCTTGGCAAAATATTCTTATTATGGTAGAGCTCCCCTCACTCCAGAAGACAAGGCCTTTCGATTCAGGAAGGGTCTGAATGATATGATAGCAGACAAACTGGCTGGTCATTGCACCAGAGATTTTGTGGAGTTGATCAAGCAGTGCCAGAATATTCAAGAGCACTATCGTACCAGGGGAAAGGAAGCAGCGGGAAAAAGCTTCAGTGGGAGGACTACGCCCTCGAAGGGTAAGGGCAAAGGTTTGCAAGCACAACAGAACACCAAGTTTAAGAAGACTCCCTTTGTAAAGAATGGAAGCAGAATGTCTGGTGCAGGGAAGATTCCCACTTGTGCCAAGTGTGGGAAGATGCATACAGGTGTTTGCCGACTGGGGCAGAATGTTTGCTTCAGTTGTGGTCAGGCAGGACACTATTCCAGAGAGTGCCCCAAGAAGACGGGGCAAGTTGCAGCCATTCAGGCGATCCCTATTCAGTCCTTGCCTACTCAGAGAGCCATAGAGGAGCCTATGGCGCCCACTAGTGCCAGGGTATATGCAGTGACACAACAGGAGGCAGAGAGGTCTCCAAACCTTATCAGAGGTATTATTCTTATCAGATGATATGCTTTTGATGCCATGTTTGATTCTGGAGCTACCCACTCCTTCATATCAGAATTTGTTGCTAATGGATTACATTTTCCCATTCACGAGTTCACGCCTCCCATGGTAGTGAAAACTACCACCGGAGACATTGTTTCTACTTCTTTGAAGTGCAAAGAAGTCAGATTCATATATGAGCAAGAAGAGTATATGGTGGATTTGATAGTGCTTGAGGGCATGAACCTACATAATATATTGGGTATGGATTGGCTGGTTCAGTATGGTGTGATGCTTAACTGTTGTAGCAGGAGGACTTTCTTTTCTTCAAAAAGAGAGAAGCCAGACAGTTTGTACTTGACGGCACCGCAGTTAAATAAGGCTCTAGATGAGGGAGATGCAGGATACATTATCTTGGGAGGACTCGTAGGAGACTCCAAAGAACCTACTGCTAATATTCCGATTGTGTGCGAGTTTGAAGATGTATTTCCAGAAGAAATTCCCCATTTCCCACCTGAGAGGGAGATTGAATTCTCAATCGACTTAGTACCTGGTGTGGGGCCTATCTCATTGGCTCCATACTGGATGTCACCAGTGGAGCTAACAGAGCTTAAGAAATAGTTAGAAGAATTGTCCCGCAAGAATTTTATCAGACCGAGTGTATCTCCTTGGGGTGCACCGGTGATCTTTGTGAAGAAGAAGGATAGAACGATGAGATTGTGCACTGATTATCGTCAGTTAAACAAGGTGACAGTAAAGAACAAGTATCCTCTGCCACACATAGATGATTTGTTGGATCAGCTTAGAGGTGCTTCTGTGTTCTCAAATATTGATCTTCGTTTCGGATATCACCAGATCCGGGTAAAGGCTAAGGATATTCCAAAGACGACTTTCTGATCCAGATATGGGCACTATGAGTATCTAGTGATTCCATTTGGGCTTACTAATGCCCCGGCCGTGTTCATGAGTTATATGAATCGAATTTTCAAACCACATTTAGATCAGTTTGTTGTGGTATTCATTGATGATATTCTGATCTACTCCAAAAGTAAGGAAGAACATGCAGAGCATTTGAAGATAGTTCTACAGATTTTAAGGGAACATCAGTTATATGCCAAACCATCCAAGTGTGAGTTTTGGTTGCATGAGATCCAGTTTCTTGGACATGTCATCTCATCTACAGGAGTGGCTGTTGATCCGAGTAAAATTGAAGCTGTGCTGGATTGGGAGAGACCCAAGAGTGTTACTGAGATCCAGAGTTTTCTGGGTTTAGCCATACACTACAAACAATTTATTAATGGATCCTCCAGAATCGCCTTGCCATTGACTAGGTTGACCCGAAAAGGGGTGCCATTTGCATGGACCCTTGGGTGTGATGTGAGTTTTCAAGAATTGAAAGATAAGTTGACTACCGCACCGGTTCTGATTCTTCCTGATCCAGAGAAGAGATTTGAGATCTATTGTGATGCATCCAAGTATGGATTAGGGAGCGTGTTGATGCAGTAGCGAAAGGTAGTGTGGCCTATGCTTCTAGACAGTTGAGACCACATGAAGAGAACTACCCTACTCATGATCTTGAGTTAGCGGCCGTGGTTTTTGCATTGAAAATATGGAGACATTCCTTGTATGGTGCTACCTTCACAGTTTTTAGTGATCAAAAAAGCTTGAAGTATCTATTTGATCAAAAGGAGTTTAATATGAGACAAAGGAGATGGATGGAATTCCTGAAGGATTATGAGCTTGACCTTCAGTATCACCCTGGAAAGGCGAATGTAGTGGCTGATGCCTTGAGCAGAAAGACCACGGGTGTGGCTAGCATGATGATTGCAGAGTATGATTTGATTAAGGAGTTTAGGGATTTGCCAATTTATGTGACACCATTTGAGACTTCATATTTCATGACTACGTCGAAGTCCGAAATTTGTTAATGGAAAAGTTAAAGCGGCCCAAGTGCTTGATGAAGGGATCCAAATGATGAAAAAGCAAGATTTTGTGTTCACCGATGCTTCAAATGTGAAATACTACAAAGATCGGTTAATTTTCCCAAATGGGCCAATGGTAGAAGAAGTGTTAACAGAGGGCCATATGGGTAAGTACACCATTCACTCGGGTGCAACTAAGATGTACCAAGATTTGAACAAAATTTTTGGTGGTCTGGGATGAAGAAAGGCATAGCCCAGTTTGTGAATAAGTGCCTTATTTGTCAGAAGGTAAAAATTGAGCATCAGAAGCCTTCTGGTTACAGCCATTAGATATTTCGCAGTGGAAATGGACGAGTATATCCATGGACTTTGTTGTGGGATTAACGAGAAGCCAGACTGGATTTTATTCCATATGGGTTGTGGTTGATAGGTTGACTAAATCCACCCATTTCATTCCAGTCAAGACGACTTTCTCCACAGAGCAGCTAGCCAGACTCTATGTCAGAAAGATTGTGAAGCTACATGGCATTCCCGAAAGCATAGTCAGTGATCGGGATCCGAAGTTTACTTCACTCTTCTAGGAAGTGTTGCATGAGGCCTTTGATACTCAATTGAGATTGAGTACTGCATATCACCCGCAGACAGATGGTTGGACAGAGAAGACCATTCAGACACTAGAGGACATGTTGAGAGCATGTGTGTTAGAGCAGGGTAATGCTTGGAACAAGTACCTGTCACTGGTTGAGTTCTCTTACAACAACAGTTATCATGCCAGTTTGGGCATGGCTCCTTATGAGGCCTTGTACAGCCGTAGGTGTAGAGCACCTACTTGTTGGACGGAGATTGGAGAGAGACAGTTAATGGGGCCAGACTTGGTCCAAGAGACCACAGAGCAGATTGAGATGATTAGAGATAGGCTGAAGAAAGCCCAAAGCCGTCAGAAGAGTTACTACGATGCCAAGCACAGACCCCTCAAGTTTTCTGAAAGGGATCATGTATTCATTCGATTATCACCCACTACAGGTGTTGGACGTGCCTTGGGAGTGAGGAAGTTGAGTCCACGGTTCATTGGGCCCTACCAGATAATCAAGAGGGTCGGACCAGTGGCGTATCAACTTGCTTTACCTCCCAACATGGCGAATCTACATGACGTATTCCATGTGAGTCAGCTCCGCAGATATATATCTAATGATTCACACATTGTACAGCCTGATGACATAGAGGTTAAGAAGGATTTGAAGTTCGTTGTTGGACCTTCTAAGGTTCTTGCTCGAGATAAGAAACAGCTTCGAAATAGTTATTCCCATGATCAAGATTCAATGGGATGGATTGACACCTGAGGATGCCACATGGGAACGAGAGGATAATATTCTCCGGCGTTATCCCAATTTTGATATCAGGTATGATCCGATTTTGTGGACAAAATCTTTTTAAAAGGTGTGGTGAATATAATAACTCTAATTATATGACTTTTAAATTAGAGGGTGATAATGAGGACCTTATGGTCATAAATAGAATGAGGATGAAATTCTAATAATTTTGATACCCATATCGAGGGTATTTTGCATAGATGAATTTTCATCTGTTAATTTTGACTTCTGACGCAGTAACAGTTAGTAGAATAGCTTCAAGTTAGCAAATTATAGTTAGAGAGCTAATATAATGATATAAATATCATGAATGAGGTTAGGATATGATTTGATGAAGATTGATATCCATATTGGGGTATTTTTGAAAAGTCACTGCTGTCGGGTATTTTGTACTGCTGTAGCAGAAGCTAGTAGAATCTCGAAACGGGAAAAATATGATAAAATGGAAATAAAGACGAATATATGCCTAACAAGTCATAATTAGACTAAAATTGTTAAAGTTAAGAAGATTATGAAATCCTGGTACAGTGAAGAACACCGATAAAGACTATAGTGCAATTAAACAACTGTTAGTGGATCTGTGATCTACCAATTAAGTTTTTAAGTTATGAACAAGATAATTAGACAAAATTAATGTTAAGTACTTAAATTTAGAGTCTTGGGAGTTTTCAGATAAAAATTTGACGACGAATCAGTTGAAAATTACACCGAGTTTCACTAAAGGATGAATGGTCACTTAGTGACATGGCACCCCCACATTAGGGCACCACCTTCCCTTGGCTGATTGAGAAACCAGCCACCCTCACTATTCATCTCTCTAAAATTTGATTTTTGAATTTGCTCTCACTTCTCTCTAGAATTCCTCCATCAAAACCTCTCCAAAACTCAAAATCTCCTTCATCAAAGTTGTTCCTCTCACTCTCCTCTTCACCACCATACCATTTTCATGGTGTGAATAAAAAATTTCACGTCTCTCACCTCAGAAACAGCCACGGTTTTGTTGATGTTCAAGGGTGTGAGTTGTGTTCTTAAACTCTCTTGAAGAACCACACTTGGTTGCTTGGTTCTTGTGATTTTGTGCGTAAGTTCTCTTGATTTTTTTCATGAAAAACCTCATCTTTTCTTCTTGTGTTCTTGAGCCTAACTTATGAGCATGTTCATAAAGGTTTGTTCTTGCTTAAAAGAGGGTTCTTGGTGGAAAAAGGTGGAGACTTGAGCTAAAGGAGGAACCTTGAAGATGTAAGCTCCCACCTGGAAAATATGAACCAAAAAGCCTCCCTTTTTCTTGTTGAGTGCCTCGGTTTTGATATGTTCATGAGGAGAATGTTGTTTAAAATTTTGTAAAGTAATGGTTTGATGAAGATTTTTAAGGGTGTGTGTGTTTTGAACCATGGAATCATGGATTTGATGAGTAAAGGTGCCACCTTTGGACCTTTGTGTGTTGTTCATGTGAAAAAATGAACATGAACCCTATATGGACCCTTGATGATTTCAGCCATGTCATGTAATAATAAGGTTTGATGATAAAAAAAATGTGATTAAGTTATTAAGTGTGGAAAAATGATTAGAAAGATAAACTAGGTGAGTTAACTCTAAGTAAAACTCACTAATCATGATTAATAATGGTTGAAAACTCTAATTAAAATAGCTCATCAAATCTTCCTCATAAAGTATATAAGGGTTTAGTTGTGTTAAAATTAAGGAGATGATGAATTAGGTGATTAATTAAGGGTAGAGATTAATTAACAAAAGTAATTAAGGATTTAACTCTAAAATTAGACTAAAGTAGGGTTTAGATACACTAATTAACTAATTAGTAAAATTTAAGTATCATGACATAATGGGACTAAAGATATTTCATAATGTGACTTAATAATAGGAAAATCCAAGAATTAATGTGAATTAGGATTTATAATCAAAAGTAATTAAGGTTTGTTAAGTAAACACATTTAAGGCTAAATAACCAGTTTTTAGGCAAAGTTGGGGAGAGCATATCTCCATCCACAGAGGTCATATAGGGTTGTTACTTATATCAAATTGAAACTTGAGATGTTAGCTATGTGGTGTCAAAATTTGGTATCAATTGAAGATGTATTCCGTTCTGTATGTTCGTTTGAGTGAGGACTGCACATGGAGGCCATGTGCAGGGGCTGGACATGGCTGAAACTTCCACGAATTTTTACTACCTCTGTGCTTACTCAAATTAGGCTCATAATATATCTAATTAAAGATAAAGGTGTCTAGTTGTCTGCATAAATTTTTGAGAGAAATTGGTTTAGTACATTTTCCAGAATCGCAAAAATGGTAAATGATGTTTAGAGCCCTGTTCGGAGTTGGCAAACAGCTTTGCTTGTCCAACTCCAAATTAGACATGTGATACCTTTTTGGAAAGTTAATTAAGTCTAGATTAACATAATAAAGGATGAGAATTTTATAACAAGTGAGTCGCGCTCAGTGACTAGAAAATAGAAGCATGTACAGTTATGAGAAAAACCGTAAATGTGATATTTAAGCTAAGTGGGCTTATGAGAACCCTTAGTAACTTATAATAATCATAAATATGGCTTGAATGAGTTGAAAATAATCAAAGTTACCTAAGTGAGCCTTGCATGTGATTCTAAGCTATGTAGGTAATTGAAGATTAAAGTGGCTTGTAATAATGCACAAAAATATGTTATAAGTAATAATTGGTCTAGACTTGTAATGGGCATATTATTGGCATATGAGTATGAAAAGTGGAATCATTAAATAATTAAATCGTGGATATGACTTGATTAATTAATATGTAATTAATGATGTGAATGTTTCCTACGCTAGGTGTGCCTAGAGAATCGTGCACTTGAGGATTTTGTTGGAGCATACGTATACTATTGGAGTGTGGGCTTGTGCTAAGCTCCCTAAGGTAAGCTCCTAGTTCTAGTTGACTCTTCTCTCTTATGGCCTCACCATAATGGTGGGCATTATGGTTGTATTGTATGAAAGTAAATGGTATGATGTATATGTGCATTCATTCACATTCATATAGATGTTATATGATCTTGATGTTATGATGATGCACTGATGATATATGTTATGAGGATCCTGGCCAGTGATCATGGTATGTAGGTTGCCTATGACTTGATTCTGGGAGCTATTTCATACTGAGATTGTGTTGACTGTCTATGGCTTGACCCTGGAAGTTACACATGTGTAACCGTATATGGCTTTGACCCTG